AAGCTGTACTTATTTATCCTCCACTGCTTCTGAACATCTTGCAAATTGGTTTCTGAGCCCACCATGCTGCTGAAATTTTCTTCTCAGTTCTGATTCTCATCTCCAAACCCTCTTAACCCTGCAACCTCCTAGAACTTGATGCCTCCTTCAGACTCTCTTCCCTGGCTCCTGTGCCCCCACGCCCACCTATCTAGCCCTTGCCTTTCCATTTTTCCCTGAATCTACTCTGAAGACGACCCTCAAGATTCTTTCCTCAGCTCCTTCTCTTCAGCCTAGTGATGAGTGGGATACCAGGATACAGACCCCAAGTGAGAAAGCTGGATACCAGGCAAAAGAGGTGCTAGGAATCAGAAGCATCTTAATACTACCAAAGAGCAAGTGAGAGTTCAGGACAGACACTAAGGGACCCAGCACTGGACTCAAAGAACTATTATGTGTTACAATTCCACATCCACTCATAGCTCCAGAGCAGTCATTCCTACATCACAAATTCTGTGCTTGTGGCTACAATAGATGGTCTGAGCAGGGTGGCCAAACCCCACAGGCCATTTTAAAGCAGAGGCGGGCAGCCTGCATCTCTTCTCTGCTCAGCACAGTGAAAAAAGTGAAAGTGTTAGTCACTCAGTTGTGTTTGATTCTTTGCCACCCCATGGACTATAACCCAGCAGACTCCTCTGTCCATGGGATTCTGCAGGCAAGATTGCTGGAGTGGGTGGCCATTCCATTCTCCAGGGTGTCTTCACAACCCAGGGATTGAACCCAGGTCTCCAGCATTGCAGGCAGATTCTTTACCATCTGAGCGACCGGGCTCAGCCAGGGTGGTCTTCAAATGCTCTTTCTTCAGTAGACCTGTGCCCCCTTCTCCTCTAGCACGTGTCCCCTCTCACTGCTGGCCTCTCCCAATGTCCTGAGTTCTTAGCTCATCCTGGACCGCCAGCTGCAGTCTGATGGATGCTCCACTGTTCATCTCGCAAACAGCCTATGCCTTGGATTGCGCTTTTGCTTGATGAGTTGTTCCTGCTGTTCTCCCAAGCCCCGCTTGCCTGGGTATGCAAACCATCCCTAAACAAAGTCTTTACACACCTGTGCTCTTCCCGCGGGTAGCAGTCATGTCTTCCTTCCCAGCCCCAGGAAGACCTGAGCACTCGTAATACACTAATGACAAGACACCCAGGATTTATCATCATTGTTGCCTCCCCTACAGATGTGATAGATGACTTCCAATTAATGGGAGGCAGCACATTCAAGAAGGAGGACAAATTGGGAAGTAGGCACACCTGGCTCTTGAATTCTGCCTCCATCATATGCTGTTCATGAACAACTCACTCCCAACCTGTTGATGACATGCACACACACATACAACGGTGTGCAGTGTTTAACACTTGACTCGATAAATCATAGTCCACCCTCCAGAGGATTTTTTTTTAGATCATTTATCCTGTTTCTATTATTTTCATCAAATTATCTTCTTTTCTCGCCTGTAGCTGGCACAAAGGTAACTGGGACTCTGGACTCCTAGCCCAGGTCCTGCCACAAAGCAAGTGCCCGGGAAACGCAGCCTGATTGCAGTAGAACATGAAGGAGTTCTTTGAAAACTCTGTATGTTCTATTTGTCAGCAACATTATGTATACACCAGATCTCCTTGCTCTGTCTCCCTTGTCCCTCAACCTCGCTGTATTCATTATTATGACTTTGTTCTCTTCCACTTTGACTTGAGTGATTTCCTGAAGCTGGTTCTCCATTTCCCTGATAGAATCTCCAGTTATGATGGATCACCTTTGTGGTTGCTTTTTATGCGACATTCATCTCTGTAATGTTTTCATTTGTTTCATCTCTCTCCTAAGAGGTAGATCAGCTCATTTTTCTTCTCTCATTTTATAACTTCCATGGATAATACTTCTTTGAATCTTATAATTTTCTTTGAGCTTAATTTTGTTTTGTACTTGGTCTTCCTGCCCGTGGATCTTGGGTAATTCCTCTTAGGAGGCAAGTTCTTCCATCTTTTGCTCAAGCACTCATTTCCTCTTGTTAGCAGGAGGCACTTTCTGTGTGTGGGTCTTGAGATCCTTCTTGTTGGTCATGCCTCATCTCAGTGGGGTGGCCATTTGGTGGGGGACTGGGTGGGGCAGTGAGCTGGGTCGTCCTTAAGTTCTATTTGGGTTCACCATCTCACTTTCAGAGCAAATATATTATTTCCTTTGCCCTGGGGCAGTGATCTTCCTCAGTTTTCAGGGTCAGCAGGTTGGTGTGCTCTTGGCAAAGCCCATTAAGGCTCTGTGAGCTGTGGCCCACGTATCCCTCCACTCCCTCCTTCACACCCTCTTTCCCTTGGTCTGTCGTAGCCTGGGGGCCAGGGGTGGAGAATGTCAACATTTTGCCAGCTTGGTGTCTCCTCAGGTCATCAGCCTTGAGTTAGAGAACTCAGTCCCTTGTAACCTGCCCATCAACTCACCTGTCCTCTCTCCATCATCATCAGTCATTTTCAAACCTTCCAAGGACTGTGCACTTTAGATTTCACCTTATCTGCCCAGTGAACAACAACTCCATCCTGAGAGTAGATTGGTCCAAAGCCTCATGGTCTTCCCTCTCTACTCAAAACCCCCACTCAGCCCACCAGCAAACCCTATCAATGATGGGTCCCGAGTCTGACCCCCTTCACCACCTGGGTTGTAGTAACTCCATTCCTCACCTACATCGGTGCAACAGCCTCCCACCTGGACTCCCTGCCTCCCCCTCCTTCTTGTGCTCCTTGCCACCCAATGGGCAGAGTGGGCCTATGCAACTGTGAGATCTGGGCTCTGCTGCACCGTCCCATTGCACTCAGCACAAAACCTAAAGGTGTCCAGTGGCCCATGAGGTCCTCTTGGTCTGTACCCCCCACTTACCTCTGAAATCATCCTCCTGCTGTTTGCCTGTTCTTTCTGTGGTTGCCCTGGTTGTTTCTTTTGCTTAGAACATTCTTCTCCAGAATCTGCCTGGCCAGCCTCCTCACCTCCTTGGAGTATTTCATCCAATGTCACTGTATCAGTTTGCTAGGGCTGCATAATAGTGTTGCAAACTGGCTGGCTTAAACCACAAAACTTTACTGTCTCATACTTCTGAAGGGTATTGTGTGCTAAGTCACTTCAGTCATGTCCAACTCTTTGTGACCCTAAGGACCATAGCTTCTCTATGGACAAGCTCCTCTGTCCATGGGATTCTCCAAGCAAGAATACTGGAATTCTTGTATTTGAATTTGTATTCAATTTTGTATTGAATACTGGAATTCAAGAACATTGGTTGCTGTGCTATCCTCCAGGGAATCTTCCCAACCCAGGGATGGGATCCAGGTCTCTTATGTCTCCTGAATTGGTTCAGTTAATTCAGTTACTCAGTCATGTCCGATTGTTTGTGACTCCATGGACTGCAGCATGCCAGGCTTCCCTGTCCATCACCAACTCCTGGAGCTTGCTTAGACTCATGGACATCGAGTTGGTGATGCCATCCAACCGTCTCATCCTCTGTCATCCCCTAATCCTCCTACCTTCAATCTTTCCCAGCATCGGGGTGGCCAAAGTGCAGGGAGTCAGTTCTTTGCATCAGGTGGCCAAAGTATTGGAGCTTCAGCTTTAGCATCAGTCCTTCCAATGAGTATTCAGTACTGATTTCCTTTGGGATTGACTGGTTTGATCTCCTTCGGTCCAAAGGGACTCTTAAGAGTCTTCTCCAACACCACAGTTTAAAAGTATCAATTCTTCGGTGCTCAGTTTTCTTTATGGTCCAACTCTCATATCCATACTTGACTATTGGAAAAACCATAGTTCTGACAATACAGACCTTTCTCGGCAAAATAATGTTTCTGCAATGATAGGCAGGTTCTTTACCACCAGCACCACCTGTCAGGTTAGCTCCTTCTGAGGGTTGTGAGGGAGGATCTGTTTGATGCCTCTTTCCTCTAGAGGTTTTCTGGCAATATTTGATACTCTTCGACTTATCAAAGCATCACCCCACCTCTGCCTTCATCTTTATGTGTGTGTCTTCTTCCTATGAGTGTCTGTCTCACAATATCTCCTTTGGAGAAGGACACCAGTCATAAGACCCACTCTAGTGACCTCATTTTAACTTAATTACTTGGACTGCAAGGAGATCAAACCAGTCAAACCTAAAGGAAATCAGTCCTGAATATACACTGGAAGGACTGATGCTAAAGCTGAAACTCTGGTACTTTGGCCATCTGATGGGAAGAACCGACTAGTTGAAAAAGACCCTGATGTTGAGAAAGATTGAAGGCAGGAGGAGGAGGGGACAGCAGAGGATGAGTAGTTTGATGGCATCACCGACTCAATGGACATGAATTTGAGCAAGCTCGGGGAGTTGGTGATGGACAGGAAAGCCTGGCGTGCTGCAGTCCATGGGGTCACAAAGAACTGGACATGACTGAGTCACTGAACTGAATAACCTTTGTAAGGACTGTATCTTTTAAAAAGGCCACTTTCTGAGATACTGAAAGTTGGAACTTCAATGTGAATACGAATTTGGGAGGGAACACAGTTTAACTTATTTCAGTCACCGTCTCAATGAGGCCTTGCCTTTCCCCCCAGTTTAAAACTGCAGAACTGCCTCCCATCCCCTGGATTCTCAACCATCCAACACTTAGTTCTACTTGTATAGTAGAAGATGAGGTTTTATCCTCCAATATTTCATTCTTTTTTTTTTCATTGTCGTCAATGAGTTTCCATCTTAATTGAGACTAAAACAAACATTACCCCTGTCACTCAAGGCCATCTCCCCCACCCGGAGCCACTCCCCCCTCTAGTCCTGGACCAGTTTCATCCTCATGCTCACTCCAGCCTGCATACATGGCCCTGGCTGAGTGGCCCAAGAAGTGAAGAACAGTGGTTTCAAAGCTGACAGAGACCACCCATGGCCAATGATGATCCTTAATGTCATTATCAATGCAGTGACACCCATCCTCCACTCAGGCAATTGACTGAGCTCTTTGTCTTCTTTAACACCACAGATTGGCATAATGAAAATGCTTTCATTTCCTGGCTCAGAAGCAAGAGGTGGGGGCTGTCCAGTGCCAACAAATCCATCTCCAAATCCTCCGGCCTCTGTCTGTCAGTCTGCAGCTGGCAGAGCGATGACTGACAGCTGGGCATCACCATTGAGAACCCTGGTCCCTGTACCCTGCAACATCCTCCCTCCTTTGTGGGCAGAGTGAGGTCTCTCCTGCGCCTCCACTGTGTTCTGGCTCCCCCACCCTACCACGAGTCCCCGCTGAGCCCACTGGGAGCCTGACCTGGGCTCATCTGCTCAGCATCTCATCACATGTCATGGGTCAGAATGATGTTGGTTCCTCCATGTGTACTCACTTTGGTGGCGGGGGTAGGTGAGGCTCCAGGTCTGTGCGAGAGTCTGGGGGAGGGGAACCTGCCCAGGTTTAGCCCCCAGAGAACATGGGAGAAAGAGAGAAATTGGGCAACAGATCTGATCTGGACCATTCTGAGGCATCCCTTCTCCTTCTGCAGGTCAGCGCATCTCAAATAATCTCAGAATCTTTCCATCACCACCACCGCTTGCCTGGAGCCTGCACTAAGCCCCTGAACTGACTCCCTGCTTGCCCTCTGGCTCCCAAAATCTGCTGTTCTCTGCCTAACAGTCTCCCTGCTTCAACTATCTTCCTCTTCCATGAGAAATCTCCAGACAAGGGCAGATTTACCAGAGGTTAAAAAGCTTAAGCTTCAGGGACCCTTACTCCCCAGACCCCCTCCTAAGACCCCAGCGGGGCCCCAAGCAATGTGGTTAATGAGCATTTCAATTCCAAGGTTAATTCCAAGGTTAAGTAGGATTAGTAACTGCAAGGAAAACTTGCTATGTCCTGAAGCCCTTACTGCTCAGATATATGAGGAACTTCACAGAAGGCTTCTCGAATTTGACAACACTCCTGAAGATGGTCTGTAATGAATTGTGAAGGTGAAAAAATCTTCAATCCTATCTATGGAGAAAACCATGATGATCAGAGTCTGTGGGAGGAAAGCCTGATTGAACTTTCAATTCTCTCCATGGAAGATAACATTACAAAATCATTGTCTTTGGAAGATGTGAATAGAGAGAATGCAGCCCATACAATTCAGGGGAGAAAGAAAGTCATGAAGGAGTGTCAGGATGTTAAGTAATAGAATGAGATTTTCCTCAATTCTGTGATTTTTTTTTTGGTAATTGCTTGCTTTTTGAAATCTACAATTTATTGTGATTTCTTTTTTCATTCTAAATAAATATTCGATCTCATAGCTAATTTTAATTCTGAATTCTATATCCTTTTCTTAAAAAGAACTCCCCCAAATGGTATAATTTTCAGACCCATGGCACTACACCTACTACTTTCCTGACCTTCCTACTGTACTTGGAATAAACCCTAACCTCCTATGCCACGTGGTCTGCAAGGCCTCCCTTCTCCATCCTGGCCATTCTGAACTTTTCAGCCCTTTCCCCAGCACTCAGCACTTTGCAGACTTGAGAACTGAACAGACCTGCATTCAAAGTGTGCAGCTTCAAACTGCCAAACAACTTGCAAATACGTGAGGAATACATGCTTATTATTGTATGTTGAAAGTGAAAAAGTTGGCTTAAAGCTCAACATTCAGAAAACTAAGGTCATGGCATCCGGTCCCATCACTTCATGGCAAATAGATGGGGAAACAGGGGAAACAGTGGCTGACTTTATTTTTCTGGGCTCCAAAATCACTGCAGATTATGTTTGCAGCCATGAAATTTAAAGATGCTTACTCCTTGGAAAGAAAGTTATGACCAACCTAGATAGCATATTAAAAAGCAGAGATATTACTTAGCCAACTAAGGTCTGTCTAGTCAAGGCTCTAGTTCTTCCAGTGGTCATGTATGGATGTGAGAGTTAGACTATAAAGAAAGCTGAATGCCGAAGAATTGATGCTTTTGAAATGTGGTGTTGAAGAAGACTCTTGAGAGTCCCTTGGACTGCAAGGAGATCCAACCAGTCCATCCTAAAGATCAGTCCTGAGTGTTCATTGGAAGGACTGATGCTGAAGCTGAAACTCCAATACTTTGACCACCTGATGCGAAGAGCTGACTCATTTGAAAAGACCCTGATGTTGGGAAAGATTGAGGGCAGGAGGAGAAGGGGATGACAGAGGATGAGATGGTTGGATGGACATAGGTTTGGGTGGACTCGGGAAGTTGGTGATGGACAGGGAGGCCTGACGTGCTGCGGTTCATGGGGTCACAAAGAGTTGGACGCGACTGAGCAACTGAACTGAACTGAATTGTATGTCACTCAGGTTTTTGGGTTGTTTGTTACACAGCAATAGCAGACTGATGCAGTGTGACTGAAATGTTTCAGATGCACTCAGATCAATCACGAGGATGACTTTGTTGTTCAGAAAGGTATAACTGGATCACAAACATAAAAAAGCTGAAATCTAAAACATTTTCAAATTGACCACCTATTCATTTTTTAAAATTAATTTATTTATTTTAATTGGAGGCTAATTACTTTACAATGTTGTAGTGGTTTTTGCCATACACTGATATGAATCAGCCATGGGGGTACATGTGTCCCCCGTCCTGAACCCCCCCCCACCTCCCTCCCCATCCCATCCCTCAGGGTCATCCCAGTGCACCAGCCCTGAGCACCCTGCCTCATGCATTGAACCTGGACTGGTGATCTGTTTCACTTATGGTAATATACATGTTTCAGTGCTAGTCTCTCAAATCATCCCACCCTCATCTTCTCCCACAGAGTCCAAAAGTCTGTTCTTTACATCTGTCTCTTTTTTGCTGTCTTGCATATAGGGTCATTGTTACCATCTTTCTAAATTCCATATATATGCATTAATATACTGTATTGGTATTTTTCTTTCTGACTTACTTCACTCTGTATAATAAACTCCAGTTTCATCCACTTCATTAGAACTGATTCAAATGCATTCTTTTTAATAGCTGAGTAATATTCCATTGTGTATATGTACCACAGCTTTCTTATCCATTCGTCTGCCAGAGAAATGCAAATCAAAACCACAGTGAGATACCATTTCACACCGGTCAGAATGGCTGCTATCAAAAAGTCTACAAACGATAAATGTTGGAGAGGGTGCGGAGAAAAGGGAACACTTTTACTCTGTTGGTGGGATTGCAAACTAGTACAGCCACTATGAAAAACAGTGTGGAGATTCCTTTAAAAACTGGAAATAGAACTGCCATATGACCCAGAAATCCCACTGCTAGGCATTCCCACCAAGGAAACCAGAATTGAAAGAGACACCTGTACCCCAATGTTCATTGTAGCATTATTTACAGTGACCACTTATTCTTAAGGATCTCAAAAGTAAAAAAAATCCTCATCTTTCCCTGTTAATCTCAGCTCATTTTCAGACCCATTAGTGTCTAAGACTTAGAGTCACAAAAGGTCAGAATCTCTGTCCTTCACCTTATCCAGTCTTTAGGAACAATAAAATGTCAACCCTTATATTAAGAATATTTTTTCCTCACATAAAAATTATACTTGTTCGTTAGAGAAGATGCAGACAGGCAAAAAGAGAAAAGCCATCCATAATAATCACCACCAAAAATAAACTCTGCCAAATATTGGTTGTATATACATATGTGTTTATATATATTTATGCTTTTCTCATAAAATAGGAGAGTATGCTGTGCATTCTGTTCCATAACCTTCTGTTTATGTTCACTGTGCCATAAAAGTCTTCCCATGCCATTTTACATCTTCTGCACAATTATTTTGAATTGTGAAATCATTGCTGAGATGACCCTCATGATCACCTTCCCTCTGCTAGGCTTCTTATTATACTTGAACACCCGTGGGGAGGAGTGGACCCTTTGAACCAGCACCATCCAAGGTACTATAGCTTGACTATATCAGATCTTCCCAGCAGAGAAGCAGGACCTGGAGAGAAAAGGGACAAGCCGGTATGAGGGCGTCAAAGATCTCACTCAAATGACCCCCTGTGACCAGTCCTCTTACTGCAGACTTATTGACAGATGAGGAAACTGATTTCAAGGGAGCCCTGAGGCCAACTCTGTACCTGGACCAAGTTCACAGCCGAGAGCCCTGGAGCTGTGACTCTCTGCCTCCCACCTATGATTCCTGCAGGCAGCAGAGACAGAGTGCTGACCACCTGTAGCCTCCCTTACCTGCTCAGATGGATCTTATCTCAGGTTCCTGCGGTCAGTACAGTGACTCTGCTATGCTTTAGTGATGTGTAGAAAGAAGAGCCAGGGGCCCCATGCACACCTAGGAGCCTGAGGAGGGCTTTGCTGCTAACCAGCCAGGACGCCTGGGACATCGTTTCACCTCTCCAGGTATAGCAGAGACTGTCCAGCTGTTCACCAAATAGGTTTCTTCCTCCTGGGCACATGACAAGGCTGCATCTCCTAGCCTCCTCTGCAGGTGGGTGGGACCATGTGACTGCCTTCCAGACCATAGAATGTGAGCAGGAATGACACATGTCACTTCCACCCATGGCCTTTGAGAAGCTCCCACAAACTCCCTACCAGCCTGATACTGGTAGAGGACCACCTGCCCCTGTTTCTGCTCATGGAGGGGAAGGTATCTCCTACATAGCAGCTTGCTTCATCAAAGTGTGCAAACCAAGAAGGCAACGGAGCATGGGCCAGTGAGACAGCCCCCACCAAGGAGCTATTATTCCAGACCTGTCTCCAGCCATCTTGTGGCACCCACCACTCAAGGACACCTGTTTGGGGTTTACACACGACTTCTGTTGCATTGGGGCCATTATACATGTGGGGTTGGTTTCTTAGGGCAGTGTGCATCATTGTGGGTGATACTCAGAATTCACGAAGCATCTATTTGTGCAGGACTGTTTTGCTCCACACGTCACATGCTTACCCTTTTAACAGGACTGTGACCTTGGGGTTATTATCTCCATTTTTCCAGAGCAATGAATGAGCTGGGAGTCACACTCAGCTCTTCTGGACCCTCATCCAACAATGCACAGCTTAAGGGTCTGGAGGACCAAACACCCCAGGATCCTACAGGCCCCTGATTTCTGCCAAAGGGGCAGAGAAGTGAGGAATGTACGGGCTGGCATCTGATGGGCCAGGGTCCAAGCCTCCTCAGTGGAAGCATAGGTAAGAGCTTGGCTTACTGGCACCTCAGTTTCCTCATTTGTCCAATGGGGCTGTGGGGAGGAGATCCACCACTTGAGGTTGTTTGGGGGTGAACTGAGATCTTGGCCATAAGGCACTTGGCACTGAGTGGGGCTTTCAGGATAAGGCCCTGACTGCATCCTCACCTGAAGCAGCACCACCCCCACCCTCTCCTGGTGCCTCCAGTCTCTCTCCATCTGAACCCTCTTGCCTCTCTTGACTCATCTTTAGGTAAAGGCTTTTCCTCACCTCTGCTAGAATGCTCAGAAGCTCTGCTTTGCTGGGGGTCTCCCCCACCAGCCTTGGTCTCTGTGACTTTCCCTTGACCCATCCCCTCCAGGACCCTGGGTCCCAGTCAGAACACAGTTCTGCAACTGTGCAGGAAATTCTGGGCATGAATACCTCCTGCCCCTGGCTGCTTGGGGTGAGGATGGGACACCGAAAACGGATGCAGCCAACGATTAAGTCTGAACTGGGCCAGACACCTTCACCACTCAGCATCGTTCTTGGGAAGCCAAGGCACCTCTCCATTATTTATTAGGCAGACTTTATCCATCAAAGGGCCTGAAGTTCTGGAAAACTTTTCCTTCTGTTGCCTGCTGGGACAGTCACAGTGTCTGACCAATTTAGTGAGCCTGGGAGAGAACTAGAGTCTGCTGCTTCCTAGGCAAGCCTGGCTGGGTTGATCTAAAAATAGAAGGGGAGTGAGGCTGACCTGGTTCAGGGCTGGGATGTTTGGAGCTGGTCTTCCCCAGCTGCTCCTGAGGGTGCTGGGGGAAGCTCTGGGTGCTGCTGGCACTTCTGGGTGGCAGAGCTGAGTGAAGAGGCTATTAGGAGGAGGGTGGGAGACCCTGCCATTGGCTGTCCATCTGTGGGAGGTCCCCATGTGAGGGAATCTTGGTTACTGACGTTTGAGTCTCCCCCACCAGCCCTGGTCTCTGTGACTTTCCCCTGACCCATCCCCTCCAGGACTCAGGGTCACAGTCAAAACACAGTTCC